ACACACACACACACACACACACACACACACACACACACACACACACACACACACACACACATATCATGATGACGATTTAAAAAGCCTGACGGACAGACTTGATCATATATTCATGGTATCTGCAACGTTGTGCCTGTTTTTTTGTTGTGAGCGAATCCAGACATGGCTCTGCTTCAGAGGAATGCTTGGCATGGGTAATGAGTCTAATGACTAATTACTAATTTAATCATTTGTAATTACAGATTTCATACACAGGCCATCGCAGATCATTTTATCCCAAAACATGACATTTCGCATTGTCTCAGCATTTTATTTGTATTTTTCTGTGACCATTTCTCAATTTATGCGTGTCATTCTTTTCGCGCAGGGGCCGTGCTAGCTAATCTTCGTTCTCTGTATCGTTCCAATTTAAACGGATGTCCCACCGAAAAGAATCGTCTCAGCATATTTTCTCGCCGCCTTCTAACCACCAGTCAGTCCGCTAAGAATCTTCGCAGAATAGTCCACCACGGCAGTTAACCCTGAAGGGCCTAAACCACAAAAAAAAACTCAGTCCGGGCCTCTACCGGATGGGAAAGGCTTGCATAGGCTGCCAATTTCACCGTCGCACTGGTTCATTTTGTTTGGTGCGCATCAAAGCTCTCCATTTGAAGAAAGAGGCGAGACTTGCTCTTTGCTTGCTATACCCACCACCCCAGGATGGTTGTTTGAGATAGTGGACAGGCAGGTGAGGCATTGTATCGCACGGCCCATAGTCTGCACCCAACACAGTCTTTGCGATACAAATGCAGCAGTGCAGTGCAGACTATACCCACCACAGGCTATAGTCTGCACCCAACAAGACAAAGTCTATTCTATATCATCTGATGGGTTCTTTGTAAAGTAACTTATATCTTTATAAGTTGTCATGGTATTTTTTCTCATCAGCGTTAGCGTTAGCGTTAGGGATAGCGCTCTTGAGCGTTAGCATTAGCGCTAGCAGCTCTGATTTTTTTTCACCGGAGCGAGCGCGTGGGCTGTGGGGGATCGCGTTCGTGAAGCTGCGATCAGTGCTGCGTGGTGCCAAAACCTAGGGTTGGGGTGGTGGAGGCGGTGGGGGAGAAGAGTTGCATGGGCGCAGGGTGGGGACCGCCTTGGGGAAACACTGGAATGCTTCTGCCATATCCTGGTCCAGGTCGGTGTGTGCTGGCATTCCTGGAGAGACTACGGGAGGAAGGAGGAGATGTGTGGTGGTCCCAAGGGCGGGATCTGGGCGCCGCACATACCAGTATGTGAAACCTGCCAAGGACTTTGTCCCCTGGCCCTGGCTTTGCTACAGAGTCAGAAGCTGAAGATTCACGGGGAGATGAGAGACGAGCGCCGGCTTCGGGGAGAGCAACACTAGTAGAGCTTAGCTGCGACGGGTATTGCCCACCGTCGTTGACAACGGCCTTTAAGCTGCGATCGGCGTCGCTGGTGCTCCTACTTCGGGTGTGGTGTAGCTTGCGAACTCTTCATCCTTACTTGGTTCTTTTCGCTTGTACAGATTATGAGCTCAGGGATAATTAGTTCACGTTGGTGTGTGTAGTGGGTATTCGGTTTTCTTTCCTTTGCCTGTGAGCTAGTTAGGGTGCATTCTTTCGTTGATTGTTTAGTTGTTTTTTGGGTGGAATTCTGTTGGTCTTTTTGAGTGTTTAGTCGATTTTTTATTCTGTTTTCCTTTTGATGGTTTGAGTTGGTTTGTGTTTTAGTGTTAGGGTTGGCGATGTTAATTAGTGTTAATTAGGGTGTGATGTTAATATGAGTTACTTAGGGTGTGACGTTGGAGGCTGACGGGTGCTCAGCCGCGGTGGGGTTAATCCAGGCCAGTGAGCCTGGTTCATCCCTGCGGGCCGTGGTTATTGATGKGAGGGACGCTGGGGCCGTTTCCCAGCCTGTGATGATATGATATACTCCTAAAAAAAAAAGGGGGGGGGGGGGGGGAAAAAAATAAAAAGGAAAAAGCACAAAAGATTGTCGTGTCAAAAAAAGAACCCCGCCGCTGCAGCGGTTTTCTATTTCCGTCTTCTTTTTTCTTTTTTTTTGGTAGTGTAATGAACCCAGTCTGGTAGATACTCAGAAGTCGTCAAACACCAGTAGTCTTGGTATCTGCAACAAAGTCTCCAAATCATGAAGTGATATCACAAACAGTATTTCATTATCATTAGACGAAGAGAGTGAAGGGGGATCAGACAGAGGAGAAGGTGGAAGAGATGATAAAAGATCACACAAGAGTAAACCCGTCAAACCCCTCTCCTTCTCCGGGCGTCTTCCCTCTTCACGTCAATAACCAGTAGATGAAAACGAGTATAGTAATCCTGGTCACATACAGTAGTGCCACGTGGCACTCTTACCTCGTGGAGACCATGAAGACACAGAAGATTCCAGTGACGACGTCACCTCAGGTGAGTATCCCACCTCCCTCATCCACAGATCCCGATCTTCACCTCATGTACACAGCGTGGACAATGCCACGTCAGCAGTGGAGACAGTGCCACATTATCATGCAATGTAGACCAGAGGCAGCGCCACATAGCCACATCAGCAATGAAGATTATTAGCAGCGCCACATTATCATGCAATGTAAACCAGAGGCAGCGCCACATAGACCAGAGGCAGCGCCACATCAGCATGCACTGTAGACCACAAGTAGTGCCACATCAGCATGCAATGTAGACCAGAGGTAGCGCCACATCAGCATGCAATGTAGACCAGAGGTAGCGCCACATCAGCATGCAATGTAGACCAGAGGTAGCAGCACATCAACATGCAATGTAGACCAGACGTAGCACCACATCAGCATGCAATGTAGACCAGAGGTAGCGGCACATCAGCATGCAATGCAGACCAGACGTAGCACCACATCAGCATGCAATGTAGACCAGAGGTAGTGCCACATCAGCATGCATAGACCAGAGGTAGCGCCACATCAGCATGCAATGTAGACCAGAGGTAGCGCCACATCCGCATGCCTGGCGCACAGAACAAGAAGCGCCATCCTGCTGCCTCCACCTCGTGCCGTTGTCCGCAACGCCTATGCACAGCCAGCTTCCTAGCCAGCGTCGCGCCAGCATAATGCCAGCGTCTCATCAAAGTCGAGCCAGCGTCAAAGCAGCATGGCAAGACTGAATGCTTGACTCACTTGAGGCCAGCCTTAAGTAGCAGTTGTCGAGGCTGTCTGGCCTCGGGTGCTTTTCCCACAGTCGTCCAGATTGACTCGCAGCCGAGGGCCCGGATTGTACAGGTGCAGACTTCTCCCTTGGACCTGATGATGTCTGGGTACCTGCATACAAATAAGTGTGTGTACTTGACCAGCGGCCTGGGCTGGGTTCAAAGTCCAAAGTCAACTGTCACACGTCCAGGCCCTGAGTCTGCTTGTGGGGTCCTTTTTGCCCCTGTTCGGCCTGGGCTGAGGGTGGCCAAGTTGGCCCTCAGTCTTTCGACGAGACATATGCCATGGGTTATTGCAGTAGTCCTGAAGCCTCTGCTGCAGCAGCTGCACATGCTGTACCCGCTGCAGCATGCTGCAGCAGGTTCTGCATCTGCTGCTGCAGATGCAGCAGCTGCTCAACCTCCTACATCTGCTGCAGATGCTGCACCTGCTGCATTGATCCTCCACCCACCTCAACCTCCCGCCCCCCTCCCCTTCCCAAACTGTTTCCCTTTTTTTCTTCGTTTTTGCTCAGAATCACCTGAAATTTTTGTGGGGGGGGTCCCCTGGTGGTGTGCAGAGTCTGCAGACCCGGCTGATTTTTTTTTTCTCTCCGATTGGCCAAAAACTCGTTGTCCGGGATCCCGGACAACTCCCCACCGACTGTCTCCCGGAGACGTCCAGTGGAAACGTCTCCCGATCGGACATCTGGCAGCATCGGATAAAAGCCTCCTGAGTACTACTGATTAATAAAAGAAGACACCTACCTTCTAGGCAAACTAGTTAATTTAGAACTAGAGTTTAATTAAACCAACAGTACTTGGCTCAGCTATCGATGCCGAGCCGACCGACCCCCTGAGCGCCAAGTTTTGCCGAACCACCAGGATGTCGTTTCGGATTTGTTTTGGCTGGCGCTTCCAGCCATTGTGGTCCGGTACCCCGAAGCCCTGCAGGCGCGGCGTGTTAACGGGGAAGCGCCGTGGCCGATAGCTGGGCCAAGTACTGGTGGTTTAAGAGGGGACAAAAGGGGGTAGGTATGGAGGTGTGATGATGAGCAAGTGGTTCATGGACCTTCCAAATATCGCAGAGAGGATTAAGCCCCCTCTTTTTCTTTTTTCTCCTTTTTTTGTTTTTTTTTGTGTGGATTCAGCCCCCTCGTGATGGTTGTTCAAATCATCTGAGGGGGCAGATTGAGCTGGACTGTCCAAAAAACTTTCCCAGACCGATGAAAGTGCTGGCCCC